TGCCCCTTGGGCATCGCCTGGGGGCGCTGCGGGGCGTCCCCTCCCCGGCCCGTGCAGCGCAGAAGCGGGTCAGACAAACCAGCTCCGGGGGAATCACGTGACTTCCAAGAACTCGCAGACGTTCCAAGACTTGGCTGGGGGCCACGACTCGCGCAGCCTTGGGGCTTTACAGAGCATGCGCCCTGGCGCTGCGCGTGGAGTGAGGGCAGCGGCCTTAGCCGCGGCGCCTGCGCCTGCGCAGCGCGCCCTAAGGAGCGAACTCTGAGACCAGCTGCTCGTGTCTCTACAGCCCGGTGCGTGCGGGCCAGGAGTGGAGCAGCTATTCAGGGGTCAAATTTGAGAGGGGGTTGAGGGAGGATGCCGGGGGCAGGGGTTGCACTGGGGGGGAATCAGGCTGCCGTGAGGAGGGATCACGGGGCGCAGGGGAGCGAGGCGGGAGCGGAGGGAAGGGAATACTATTTCCCTTTGCAGAAGCTGCACTTTCCTTTGCTCCCCTCTTCTCTGCGTCCCTCCCCCAATGCAGCGCGATCCTCTTTGCACCGTGTCAATCTGTGTGACAGAGAATCGCAGCTCGTGTGCAGGCGCTGCTGGGAAGCTGGCGGGATCAATACTCTCCAGCGCCCCTTGGCATTAGCGCTGGGCCATTTGCTCCCCTCCAAGGTCTCCAGCGGAGTCGCTTCTGTTAATACCAGTGCGTATTTCTAACCTCCGCGCTTTGGAGCTGCCACCTCAGCCTTAGCATAGGCCGCAGGAGCCCGGCTGGGGTGCTGCAGGGCGGAGCGTGTTCAGGCTCGGTAAGTGGGCTCCGTGCACTGCTGCTCTCTCCCACTGCCCCTCCCCATCCCTTTGGCAATGAGCCTGGTCTGGCGGGGAAGGTTGGGGTTTCTTCATCCACTCTCGGAGGGGGGGGCTGAGTTCCCTCCCCCTTCCCACCCTACTGGGTGAACAGCAGCACAGTGACACGCTGACCAGGGGATTTCCCTGCTGCAAGGGGGTGTGAAGCCAGGTAACCATCCCCGCTCATGCCCAGACCCTCACCCCCCAATTCCCTTTGCTCACTCCCCTCTCCCCACCAAGACCCTGCACCTAGCTTGCTCTGAGAGGGGGGGGCTGAGTTCCCTCCCCCTTCCCACCCTACTGGGTGAACAGCAGCACAGTGACACGCTGACCAGGGGATTTCCCTGCTGCAAGGGGGTGTGAAGCCAGGTAACCATCCCCGCTCATGCCCAGACCCTCACCCCCCAATTCCCTTTGCTCACTCCCCTCTCCCCACCAAGACCCTGCACCTAGCTTGCTCTGACACTCCCTCCTGCCCAGACACCTTGCCCCCAAGCCCGTTTCTGCACCCTCCCTCCTGGCCAGTCACCCTACCCCCAGCCTGCTTCTGCACCCATACCTCCCACCCAGACCTTGTAACCTCTCCTCCTTCTGCACCCCATCTCCCACGGAGGTCCTGCACCCCATCCCTATCCCACACACTGGCAGCCCGGTCCCACACACTAAACCCCTCATTTTTTGTACCCACCCCAGACAGAGCCTACGAGGGTCCATAAAATCCACTAACTCCAGAACCTCAGAAAAGTAAATCTGGCCTGTAGGAAGCAGTGAACCTCAGAACATTCTTGTCATAAATAAAGGAAACATTGAAACCTTTTGTGTTGGACATAAATTAATATTTTACTTTATTTAAAATGAAGCTTGATAAACTAATATGAGAGTTAAAATGCTTCATCTGTTTAATAATTTAAATTAAACTGTTCTCCCCAGCTGTAGCACTAGAAAATGGCTCAGGTGTAATTATGTAATTAACAATGAGTTTCCACTAGCAACTGGTGGCCCACAGAAAGATTTACATTGAGCCGGGGGGGTTCACAGGCCACTGAAATAGAGGCACCCTCGGCTTCTCCCCCTAAGTTAATACAAGTTGGGTTAATGCAATTGCAGCATAGTTGCATGGCTGGGAGGTGCTTACCAGCAGACGCCTGAGACAGACGGTTCCACTTCAGGAATGGGGGAGGGGTGGCAGAAGGGGATGAGAAGGGAGGGAGAAGGCTTTCTACCCCTGCTCCCAGTTGGCTGAAAACCGAGAGATTGGTCAGTGGGAGCTAGGAGATTTTGCTGGGGGTGGGAACAGCATGAGAAGTCTCCTTCCTCTCTCTCCTGCTCCCAGTTGGCTGAAAACCGAGAGATTGGTCAGTGGGAGCTAGGAGATTTTGCTGGGGGTGGGAACAGCATGAGAAGTCTGCTTCCTCTCTCTCAAGCCTTCCAGAATGGAGAACAGCTGGTTTTTTTAAGTGTTGAGCTGTACTCTTTATGAAGGTTGCAGTGAGGCAGCCATGGCCCAGATATTGTGGCTTGGTGGGCTGAATCCTCTTGCCCACCCTTTGTCTAGAACATCCACAGACAGAGTCTGAGGAGAATGGGGGTGTGGAAAGGATTAAAGCCCCCTTTGAAATGTCTCCAATTGTCCTCCCCTGACAGGCTGCAGAACACCCATGTCTTGCTCTAGCTCAGCCCATGGCCTGCAGAGCCAGGGAAAGGAAATGGCTGTGGTGGAGCCGGTGACCTTCGAGGAGGTGGCTGTGTATTTCTCTGAGGAGGAATGGGCTCTGCTGGACCCGGGTCAGAGAGCCCTCTACTGGGATGTGATGCAGGAGAATTATGAGGCTGTGAGCTGGCTGGGTAAGGATTCCTGTTCCCTCGGGTAACAGAAGCTGGGTGGGCTCTGGAGCAGCTGGGTTGGGTTTGGTTCAGGGTCCCTCATTGCCCCCTGCCTCTAATGTCAGGAATATCAGCCCCAATACTCTTGGTGACTGTGTGAGAGACTGTCCCCTCCATGCCCCCTCCCAGGGGAAGCAGGTTGAGGGACATAACAATGGTGTTGCTCTTCCCACAGCCAAGGTCTCCATGTGCTTCCCCACCATCTTGCCCATGTTGTATCTTGGCCGGAGGTGTCTGGAAGGGCCCAGGCAGGAATGGCAGGTACCAGAGTTGTGGGCCTGGGTCTGGCTGCTGTTAGTGCCTGCAGAGTGCCCCTTGTGCTAGTTTGCTGAGCCCCTGGAAGGAGGGCGCAGTTCCTGGAGTCCTTTCTTGCTGTGGCTGATCTGTGACATGCTGGTTCCTGCCAGCGAGAGGGGCTGGGTGCTGGGGCTGAGGGAGGGTGGATGAGGCAGTTCACGCTCTGTGAGCATTCTGTGGAGGAAGGGGAGGTCTGTAGTAGATAAACATGAGGAGAGCTCTTATGTTTCAGGCACTACACTTGGGAGACCTATGTTCAATTCCCTGCCCTGACTCAGCCTTCCTGTGTGACCTTAGGCAAGTCACTTATGTTAACCCCAAATGTGGACCCAAGGTTCTTCCCTATTTGCTTGTCTATAACCATACATGGATTATCAGTATAGCTGGCCCATGTGTGTAAAAGATGATATAGGAATTGCCAGGATATTACCAGCATGTTGTCTCTGACTGAAAAACATAAACAGCCTTAAAACAATAAAGAGAATTTTGATACACAGGCTAGATAAAGTTGCAATAAATGATGCACAGAGATATTTAATCTACTGCGTATTTGGGAGAGTGAGTTTGTGTGTCTGTCTGTTCAAGAACTCCTCTTAAACCATAAGAGATAGGACCACCAAATTCGATATGCTGCTTCATCGTGTCCTATCTTAAAGCAAGGTCAAAGTTTGGTTGTGCCAGGGAAGCAGGGTGTGCCTGGGATGGGATTGTGTCTCAGCAAATCATACAGAAAAGGGACAGACTCACAAGGCAGGTGAAAGGGCTGGGTGGAGTCTGGAGCATAACCAGGATCTGAAATAGCCACCAAGGATTCACTTAGCTGCTCATACAACTTCCCCGACTCCTTCTGGTTTAAGTAGAACAACCCAGCCAAAGAGCAGGGCGAGCTGAGCCCCCCCCCCCAGCCAGGAGCTTTGTGGACAGAGCTCTTGGGGAGCTAGAGATCTGCTGGGTCCTTTCTCTTCAAGTTCTAGTGACCTGCCATGTGTCTGCTGCAGCCTGAGCCCTGCCTGGGGGCCTCAGTGTCAGACCTGCCAGCCCTCACTGGAGTTCCCCTTCTGAGCAGTGTGTTCCTGTCCTGCCCTGGGATGGGGGGGAGGGAATGAGCCATGAGGAAGACTTAGCTGTACACTCGAGTGCAGCACAGCACTCAACTGCCAGGCAATGAGCTGGGCCGTTCCTGAGGCATGTGGGATGCACATTTACTGCAGGTGAGTGTGTCCTATGTGTGATCTTGTACCATCCAGAGCAAAGTCTCTGCAGGGGGGAGACGGAGCCTCTTTAGATAGGTGACTCAGATCCTGGCTGTGGAAGCCGTAGTGGCACAGACTTTAATGAACAAGAGCAGCACTTGGTTAATTCCTCCCCCGAGCAGGATTTCCAGTCTCCAAAATTCATGTCATTTCCTGGGTGGAGCAAGGGGAGGAGCTGCTGATCCCGGATCTCCAGGGTTGTGAGGAAGGGGAGATCATCAGCAATCAGCTATAATGACTCAGAAACCAGTTTCTGTGTCCTCATCACAGGTGTCACTTGTGCATTTTCATCAAGTCTAACTGGCCTTCAGGCTGTCTTCAACTCCAGTCAGAAGGTGGAGGGGGCGAGGAGGGGGGAGGGCGAAGGCTGTATTATGTCATCTTGGGAAGGGTTGTGAGGAAAGAGAATGAACTCCGCTCATGGTTATTCAACCTTTGCCACCATTATTTGGGGGTGTGCCCCCTTTTCTGTTCCCCTTTCAGAGTTTTCCTTTCAGCTCAGCACAGAAAATGACTCTTGTCTGATTTCTGTCTCTCTCCCAGCAGGCGATGGGACGCTCCCTTTCAGAGTTTTCCTTTCAGCTCAGCACAGAAAATGACTCTTGTCTGATTTCTGTCTCTCTCCCAGCAGGCGATGTCCCAGAGTCCTGAGCAGGGAGAGACCTGCGAAAGTCAGCATAGCCCAGAAAGGCAGCAAGGAAACCATCTGGTGCAGGGAGTGGGTAAATCCAGTCACAGGAACAGAAGGGTGAAAAGAAACACTGAAAACATTCTACAGAAAATCCCCCATCAACAACCACCCTATACTTGTAGTGACTGTGGGAAAATCTTCCAGTGGAGACAGGCTCTTAATTTACACCAGAGAATCCATACAGGGGAAAAACCCTTTAAGTGCTCTGACTGTGGGAAAAGCTTCATTCAGAGGTCATACCTTGTTAAACATAGGAGAATCCACACCGGGGAGAAGCCCTTTCCCTATTTGCTTGTCTATAACCATACATGGATTATCAGTATAGCTGGCCCATGTGTGTAAAAGATGATATAGGAATTGCCAGGATATTACCAGCATGTTGTCTCTGACTGAAAAACATAAACAGCCTTAAAACAATAAAGAGAATTTTGATACACAGGCTAGATAAAGTTGCAATAAATGATGCACAGAGATATTTAATCTACTGCGTATTTGGGAGAGTGAGTTTGTGTGTCTGTCTGTTCAAGAACTCCTCTTAAACCATAAGAGATAGGACCACCAAATTCGATATGCTGCTTCATCGTGTCCTATCTTAAAGCAAGGTCAAAGTTTGGTTGTGCCAGGGAAGCAGGGTGTGCCTGGGATGGGATTGTGTCTCAGCAAATCATACAGAAAAGGGACAGACTCACAAGGCAGGTGAAAGGGCTGGGTGGAGTCTGGAGCATAACCAGGATCTGAAATAGCCACCAAGGATTCACTTAGCTGCTCATACAACTTCCCCGACTCCTTCTGGTTTAAGTAGAACAACCCAGCCAAAGAGCATGGCGAGCTGAGCCCCCCCCCCCAGCCAGGAGCTTTGTGGACAGAGCTCTTGGGGAGCTAGAGATCTGCTGGGTCCTTTCTCTTCAAGTTCTAGTGACCTGCCATGTGTCTGCTGCAGCCTGAGCCCTGCCTGGGGGCCTCAGTGTCAGACCTGCCAGCCCTCACTGGAGTTCCCCTTCTGAGCAGTGTGTTCCTGTCCTGCCCTGGGATGGGGGGGAGGGAATGAGCCATGAGGAAGACTTAGCTGTACACTCGAGTGCAGCACAGCACTCAACTGCCAGGCAATGAGCTGGGCCGTTCCTGAGGCATGTGGGATGCACATTTACTGCAGGTGAGTGTGTCCTATGTGTGATCTTGTACCATCCAGAGCAAAGTCTCTGCAGGGGGGAGACGGAGCCTCTTTAGATAGGTGACTCAGATCCTGGCTGTGGAAGCCGTAGTGGCACAGACTTTAATGAACAAGAGCAGCACTTGGTTAATTCCTCCCCCGAGCAGGATTTCCAGTCTCCAAAATTCATGTCATTTCCTGGGTGGAGCAAGGGGAGGAGCTGCTGATCCCGGATCTCCAGGGTTGTGAGGAAGGGGAGATCATCAGCAATCAGCTATAATGACTCAGAAACCAGTTTCTGTGTCCTCATCACAGGTGTCACTTGTGCATTTTCATCAAGTCTAACTGGCCTTCAGGCTGTCTTCAACTCCAGTCAGAAGGTGGAGGGGGCGAGGAGGGGGGAGGGCGAAGGCTGTATTATGTCATCTTGGGAAGGGTTGTGAGGAAAGAGAATCGCAATTGTCCCCGCCCCCTGGCGCCCGACGGGTGAATGGCCACGCCCTCTGGTGCCCAACAACCTCAAAAGGTTGGGGACCACTGATTTACACTCCATTGCACATCAGACATTTCACACAAGACTGAATCCCTATAACTGCTCTGACTGTAAGCAAAGATTCAATTAGAGCTGATATCTCATTGAACATCTGGCAGGAGGGAACCATGACAGATGTGTGAACAGAAAAAGCTTTAGTCAGTGCTCACACGTTCTGTCACATTAGAGATCTCAAATAGGAGAGACCCTATTGTAATATAACAGGATTGCTTTGAGGATCAAATCAGGTGAATTGCTTAGAGTCTGGGCTACTTACAGCTCAAGCCTGGGAATCCTCCAGTGTAAGACGTCAAACAAGGCACAAAGAGCATTTCTTTGTGTAGCCCAGAAAGGCAGCAAGGAAACCATCTGGTGCAGGGAGTGGGTAAATCCAGTCACAGGAACAGAAGGGTGAAAAGAAACACTGAAAACATTCTACAGAAAATCCCCCATCAACAACCACCCTATACTTGTAGTGACTGTGGGAAAATCTTCCAGTGGAGACAGGCTCTTAATTTACACCAGAGAATCCATACAGGGGAAAAACCCTTTAAGTGCTCTGACTGTGGGAAAAGCTTCATTCAGAGGTCATACCTTGTTAAACATAGGAGAATCCACACCGGGGAGAAGCCCTTCAGCTGCTCTGACTGTGGGAAAAGCTTCAGTCAGCAGGCAAATCTTATTAGTCATCAGAGAATTCACACAGGAGAGAAACCTTTCAACTGCTCTGACTGTGGGAAAAGCTTCAGTCAGAAGTCAGAGCTTGTTAGTCATAGGAGAATCCACACAGGAGAGAAGCCCTTCAGCTGCTCTGAGTGTGGGAAAAGCTTCACTCAGAAAGGACATCTCATTAAACATCAGAAAATCCATACCGGGGAGAAACCCTTCAGCTGCTCTGACTGTGGGAAAAGCTTCAGTCGTCGTTCAAATCTTATTATACATCAGAGAACCCACACTGGAGAGAAATATTTCAGCTGCTCTGACTGTGCGAAAAGCTTTCATGTGAGCTCACATCTGGTTACACATCAGAGAAACCCCACAGGAGAGAAACTGTTTGAATGTTCTGACTGTGGGAAAAGCTTCAGTCAGCGCTCAAACCTTAATAAACATCAAATAATGCATACAAGAGACACAGCCTATAACTGCTTTCACTGTGGAAAAGCTTCAATCAGAACACAAACCTCACTGAACATCAAAGAATCAACATAGGTGAGAAACCCTATGACCTGAGTCCCCTTTAAGCTGCATGGCCCTGTCACTGTGCAGCTATTTAGTAAGGGCCATGCAAGCGCTTAGGGCCGTGGTGGGGAGAGATGTCTCAGCCTCAGCCCAGGCCTGTCATGGCTGGAGGACAGTTGGCTATCCCATGTCCCAGGCTCCAGAGCTGCCATGGCAGGGAGAGGTGCCTCTCCTCCTCCTCAGAACACTACCTGGGTGGTGGTGGGGGAGGGCTGGGGGGAATCTTCTCTTCCATTGTAGCCCTTCAGTAGATAGCACTCAAACCTCTCATCCGTGGTGCACCTCAAAATCCATACTCCCAACTACAGCCCTCACATCTCTGCTCTCCCACTCTGTCCTAATCCTGCACCCCCTTCCCACAGAATGTTTGTTCTGTGCACCAATATGCTGTGTAATGCTTTCCCTTCATTTTGGTGTCCATAACAAATTCATTCTGTGTATGCGTGGGAAAAATTGAATGGAACACTGTGTATAACTGCCCTGAGTGACAGAGACACCTCAGTGAACATTTACACCCGTGGTCCCCAACACTGTGCTCGCGGGCACCATGGCACCCGCGGGGGCATTTGCATGCGCCCGCCAGGTGCTCGGGGCTGGCCTGGCCCTGGGCACATGGCGCATGGTGAGCGCCGGCCCCG